CAATTTTTACTCTTCCAAAAAAATGTGGCCTCGTATGACCGAGCCCACGACGAGAAGGGGTGCTTCGGCATAACGAGCCCAAGCCCAAAAGTTAAAAGGCTGAGGCGACAAGCCAATATCTACACGGACTGAGGCAACGAGCCCATGATCGGAGGAGTATCAAGCCTGCAACAAAGCCTTCATGGACCGAGCCCAATACGAAGGATGTCAGTATAATCGAGATCAAGGCGAAAAGCCCATGAGGTATCAACTGACATAAAGTATTTGAGAAAAAAGAAGTTTTCTTTTTTGTTTTAGAGTCATCTTAACCGACATAAAGTTGTATAAATATGCTTTTATATCTTGACAAAGGGATCTACAACTTATTAAGCAAACATCTAGTCTTTTGTGCTTTAGCAATATTGTATGGAAATCTTTACGAAACAACTAAATAAAACCATCTTTACATCTTCGTTTTCGTGGTTTACGTTTAGAAATTTCAGTCCTCTGAAAAGTGATGAAGTCATCATATCAGTAACTGAATCAAAGCTCCATCAATCGTGCCACACAAGTTGCATAGGACTCTACAAGGACACATATGCCTTTTTTGAAGCATACCAAACCAACCACGAATATTCAGAGCATGAACCACTTGGAAAACATTCTTGTGGAGGTCGAAACCAACTCAATTAGATTTGTCAAGGGTTTTAAGGGAAAAACAAGATCTCTGGGAAAGAATCACATGAACAAGCAAGAACAAAGAAAAAAACAAGTAAATTGCGTTAAGAAAACTTTACTGATTTGATGCTAACTGTTTGTGTACAAAAGCTGCGGATCCCCCCATTTTCAGAGGAATTACATGAGTATTTATACAAGTCTAAGTCGGCTAGGATTTTCCCGTCAGCTAATAAGGAAGCTTTCCATATTTCTCAGGATTTCTTTTAGAGACGTCGGTGCTTGCCATGGGCTTTACCATCTTGGGCTTGACCCTGCCATCTCGCCAGCTTGGGCTTATGATCCTCGGCCCATTGCCTCTTAACAGATCAGTTGGGCTGAGCAACACCATTCTTGGCCCAGTGCCTAGTACTCCCAGTAGTGATGTCGGCGAGCTGTCGAGCGCTCCAGGTAACTACACCGGCGAGACAGTAGTCGACATAGGGTGATGTCGGCGATGCGGTGGTCGCCAGAGCAACGAGTTGGCGAGGCAGTAGTCGGTGCAACCAGTGGTCGGGGGAAGGCAACATTCCTAGGTGTTATGAATCATTTTCGGCGAGGTGTCCAAATCTTTAGGATGCACTTGGCGCCTTCTCATTTCTGCCTATTTCCATATTTAGCCATTTTACGGAGGAAAACTGTCGGAGGGAGTTTTGACCCCAACAATTAGCCCCCCAGCTTGGTAGTATTTGTTAGGAAAGTGCCAAGCTTAGAGAAACTGAAGACGAAACCGACGTTACAAGACTTAGTGTCATGCTAAAATGGCTTTGAGTTAAGATATCCTAAGTCGTGATCATTCTACCGAGCCAATATGCTTCTGCAAACATTGTTGCCTGACTCTCCTTTGCTTTCCCGATTCGACTAGACTCGTGTTTACTGAAATTTGCCGTCTTGTTGAAGTTGTCGGGTTTACATGTTTCAGAAAATGCTTAACCCGACAATGCTTTTAGAATAAATTCAAGCTTGTTTCGTAAAAGCTATACGAATTCATGATGTACGATTTGCGGTATTGCGTACTCCGTCATTGCCAAGTTTACGTGTTCTGGAATGCTTAACTTGACAATTCCTCATACTTAGTAAAAATTTCTATTCCTTCCAGGGATTGAAATTTTGAATTTCCTATTTCGCCGAGGAATCGAAGTGACGGATTGGCTTTTCCCAAGATGTAAAATTTTTTTTTTAAAAAAGACTATATAAGTCTCCAACTCTCCTTCTTTCCTCATAACTCCACTTCTTCACAAAAGAAAAAGGTAAACATTCTCTCCCCTCTCCTTCCCTTCTCTTTTTTTAGCCGCCGCCGAGTTATTGTCGTCGCCGCCAAGTCATAGTTGCCGGCAAGCTTCGCCGTCGACGTCCTAACGCTGACTCCCTTCCTGCCGTCGTCTCTGGGCTGTTAGATCCATTGGTGGGTCAAGATTTCCTCTCGTTCAGTCGTGCTCTGCGCCGTCCCCTTGGCAGTAGTCGGCCCTGCTTCCGTCTCATGGTACTTGGTGCCAAGGCTTCTCCAGATGCTGCCGAGGTCATGTATTAGCGCCGAGGTCTCAAAGTCGATTTTGTTTTAGCGTCGAGGTCTCGAGGTCGGTTTTGCCGAGGTCTCGAGGTCAGTTTTGTCCTAGCGCCGAGGTCTCGAAGTCGACTTTGTTTTAGCGCCGACTCCTATACTCGGAATATTTGTTTAGTCCGAACCGGACCTGTGCCGAGAATGATTAGCGCCGAGGATAAGTGGTGTCGAGATCTCGCCCAGAAACCATTAGTGCTGAGGCCTGTTTCATTCTAAGGTTGCTGCCGAGGACAACTTTGGCCGAGCTCCCTGTTTCTTCCAAGCTTAGTTTATTTCTCTCCATATCGCTATCCCGGTTTTTGCCGAGATTGAATTTTGCCGAGCACTGCTTGTTGCCGACTAGTCTCCATGCTCAATTGCTTACGCCGAGGACTCTTATTGGCCGAGGACTCTAGCAACTTGCCGAGGACCTTACCACAGAATTGAGGTAAAGCCGAGATCCTCTTATCTCCACTCTTTATTGAGTATGCTCTTGATGGTTAGTAATCCTTAGAGGAATTTACTATGATTGTAGAGATGGATAGTCCTGGTTTTAGCGGCGAGTTGTCTGTCTCCGACGCTGAATCAAACTCCGTGATTCACGTTAATGCTATTACGGGTCCGAGTGTTTTTGATGACGAACTAGTCGACGAGACGCTGAGTCCGATTGGTGTTAAATTTGAGCTGAGAATCGAGGACCATCTTACGTATTTGGGAGTGATTGCTCGTTGGGGTGCTCGCTCCCCGAAGGATTCTGTGCCGACTTTGAAGAAATGCGGAACCAAAAAGGAGAAAAAGACTCGCGGTCCTCCAGGCTCATCGCTCTCTGACGAGGAATCCTTGGGCGTGTTGAGACAGAAATTTCACATCTTCGAGGAGATCGAGTTTCGCGTCCCTTCA